TCTCTCTCTCTCTCCTCTCTCTCTCTCCTCTCCTCTCCCCCCCTCCTCCCCCCCCCCTTCCCCTCTCTCCCTCTCTCACATACTTAGGTGAAAGCACCAGATTTAACACAGTATACAAGCATATACGTTCTAGTGTTGCAGGATCGTGTTACTAACCGAGGTAGAAGTATTAGTCAAGATCTTAGAGAAAACCGTCGTTGATGTATCTAGCGATCCTCCATCGTTCAATAAGCTTGCAGTGGTGTTAGATAATAACGTCGACATAAGAATTGTGCTCACTGTATTGACCGTGGTTTTTAACTTGGGTACCGCTGTTGTTCTTTCGATAGTAGGCAAAGTGGAAGATATCGCGGTCATCAGAACGCTCGCCGTCACGTTATTAAGCCCAATCGTCGAAGTTTGAATCTTTCCCAATTTCAAACATACATCCTTAACTTGCACAGGAGGTCCAAGACAAGCATCCATCATATATGCCAATAGAGATCCAATGGTCAAACCGGTAATATATGACAAGGTCATAATGTTACCTAAACAATGAAATACAATGTTAGACTTTAACAATCATTAAGTTTGCCATATAGGTTTCTCACTTTCATTACAAGACAAATTATCTTGAATTTTTAAATAAGCATCCTTAAATATAGGATCCACAATTCTTTGAATAAATTGAAGATAAAGTTATCATGGTAGTTATCAAAACATCCTAATATAAAAATGAGAAAATTTTCGTAAAATTTTTAATCTTTCAAATCGGCATGTCCTAATAATTAAATCAGTTTACAATACATACCTGCGAGTTCCCGATGCTCTTCCGGCACTTTGCTAGGTGCTTGAATCATAGGTATGGAACCAACTATACCATTTGTAAGGCCAAGTAGCCAAGAGAATACAAGCGGATATCCCTCTCCAGAGAGGATGGGAGCACCACGTGGAATTGCGCAAAGTAAAAATAAAGGAATAAGTATGACTCGCGCACTGGAGAAATAAAGCAGCTGAGTGCGTGTCCATTCACAAGGTATCAAAGCAAATACCTACAAGAAACCGAATAATCTGTCAATCATATAATGTTGTCGTTTCATTTTTTTGTCCGATTTATCTTTATTTTTGAGGGAAGAAAAAGAACGGTAACTTTATACAGAATGTCTCGTAATTCGCAAATTAAAATATTATAACATAAAAGTTCTCCAAAAATGAAATAAAAAAGTTCTTTACAATTTTTTAAGCAACAGTTTTTGAATACGCGCAACTTAGGGAACAAGCGACTGTTTAACTCATTAAGCTCTATAACATATTGGAGTGAGCCTTGATGGAGTGAGGATGGCCTGACTGTGCAAAAAAGAGAGCTATATTGAGTAGAGACGTCTGTCTTTGTTGCGACTTTTTTGATTGGCTAGTGACGATTATCTATATTGTAAAGCCTTAACTAAAAACATTCTCCGAGAAATTTTATTTCCTTCAAGATTAACTCAAAAAATTTTTAATTATAATTAAAAAATCGGAGGAAAGTGGTTTTCATCAAAAACCCGAAAAATTCTAATAAGTAAATCAAGTACGCTCTAACGAATATCGCTCTATCGGTGATATTCTCAACTTCCGGTTTCAATCGGAAATAGGTTATTCAGACCGAAAATCGATTTTTTTAAATGGCACGTGGTATTTGTCATTGCAGATTCGGATTCTACATGAAAAAATAGAAACTATTGTCTGATACATTTTCTTCGGAAGTACCTCTGTTGACCTTGAAATAATCTCGAAAATAAGGATATATAAGACTCAGTATACCCCTTTTATTTTGAAAAGGCGTGGTGCTAGAAAGTTGAGAAAAACATCCAAGGATGGAAAGATGTCTCAGACAAGGTGACAGGCACTTTGAACATCTTTAACTATCTTGGGTCATTTTTAAGCATCACAACAATTGCAAGTGTTTTTTTGGTCATTTCTCGATAACGGTAAGTGATATAAATTTTTTTTTCAAGCAAAAGTTTTTTTTTTTAAGTTTTATCCAACGATACCTATGTTGCCCCGTGTTGCCGTTTAAAATTTTTAAATTGCTCCCAATTTCCGGTATTTCCGGGGGTTTTCCAAAAATGAAAGTACTATCAGAAACTTCAGATAGGTTTTTATGGTAAACATGTTTTTCTCAACTTTCTAGCACCACCCCTTTTCAAAAGGAGTATATTAAGTACTGGTGATTTCACGTACTCTTACTTTCGAGATCATTTCAAGGTCAACGGAGGCACTTCCGGAAAAAATATTTCAGACAATTGTTGTGTGTCGTAACACAACGTGTCGCTATAAGGTT